GGTGCAGGCGACATGCATGTGCAGCGACGCATGGCCTATGTGGCATTCATGGCCGTGGCGCCGGCGAGGTGTGGGCAAGGGCAGGGTGAGGCGTAACCAAGGACGCAAACATCCCGTCCTTTATGGCCAGCATGTGGTTGCGCCGTGGGCGAGGGTATGACCGCCGCGAGCATGCGGTCGCAGGCATTACTCATTCGGCGATCGCTTGTTAAGGCAGCCGACGCAATGATCATTCTTGAGTAGCAGTTGTTGCTGGCAATACCCCAGTTGGCTTTTGGCGGCGACTCTGAGTTGGGTGGTGATGGTGTTCGTTGGGAACGACTAAAACAAAACAAGAACAGAAGGCGAATTCATTTTTGCGATTAAATTCAACAAGATTCAAAGCGTTTCAAGAGTTCCTCTACCTCAGTCTCTATTAGAACATCATGTCATTAACATATTTCCTCTTGATATAGAGTAGCCTAAGAGGGATTGCACCATCTACATGGTAAATAGAGACACGAGATGTCGGGGTAGGGCACTCTCTCTTTCATCCATCCATTTGCTCAAGTATATAATAGTGAGTCTCCTCCCCTCTATTTATAGGCATAGCCGCATACGCCTTCCATATTTAGTGATGGACCAAGTAATTGGGATGAGCCTTTGTGGGCTATTAGGCCCCGTTTGGCACAGCTCTAGCTCCCAACTCCAACTTACCTAGAGCAGGAGCTGTGCCAAACAGTCCAGATCCTCTGTTTTTGGGAGCAGAGTTGGCAGAGCTGCTCCACAAATTTGTACTACAGGGATGGAGTTGGGTTTTTGCTGCTCCACAGCTCCACTCCACCCCAAAAGACCCACTACCCTTTAATTTTTTCATATATTTACAGGGAAATGCCACTGAACTACCCCTACCCACCTCCTCTCCTCCCATTCTCTCCCCTCCCCTTTCGGCCTCCCGATAACAGCAGCGGCAGCGTCGGCATCGGCGTGGGCGGCAGCGACGGGTGTCGGCAGCGGCGTCGACGGCGGCGACGACAGGCAGAGAGCGAAGCGTGTGACGGTCGATGGGCGGCGCGTGGCGGTGGAGGGCGTCGGCATCGACGACGACACGTGGCCGCCGGGGGTGGTGCGCACGGCCGCCGTCGGGGGATGGCACGCGCGGCCGTCGGGAGGCGCACGGCCGGAGGCGTCGGTGGCGGCGTCCGGCGGAGGGCGAAGCTCAATGACGGCGCGCGGCGGTCGACGGGTGGCGCGTGGCCAGCGCGCGGCCGGTGGAGGGCGTCGGCGACAACGTGTGGCCGGCGGGGGGTGGCGCGCGCTGTCGCCGGCAGGCGGCGCGCCTGCGACTAGGCGGCCGACGGCTGGGACTTTTTTTTTCATTTTTTTTTCCATTTTTTTTCAGATTTAGAGCTGAAAATGTAGCCAAACACTTTTGATGAGTCTCTAACTCTAACTCTAACAGAAGCTAGCTCCTACTGGAGTAGGAGTGTGGAGCTAGGAGTTGAAGTTTGGAGCCCTACCAAACGGGGCCTTAGTTTCTTGATAGTCCTCACGGTTGAATGTCGACCTGGAAGCGGTGGTGGAGCGAGAGTTGACGTCGACAGAGGAGGTTAGGTCACCAGATGATGTGGTTATCGACCGATTGACGATACACGTGCTAGGCTATGTTTAGATCCAAAGTTTGGATCCAAACTTTCAACTTTTTCCATCACATCAACCTGTCATACACACACAACTTTTCAGTCACATCATCTCCAATTTCAACCAAAATCCAAACTTTGAGCTGAACTAAAGACAACCCTAGTGTGATTTCATTACCGCTTTCAGGGGAGAGTTCCAAGATTTGGGATTTCACGGGAAGAGGGGAAATCACCGAGACGAGCTATGGTTGTGACAAAGATAAAGATAATGAAATCAAGCGACTGCTCATATGGGGAGGACATTTTTGACCTCGTTAACTCCATGAAGGCCAAACTTGAGGCTATGGTAAAAATCAAAGAAAATAACGTTGAGTTGTGGTACAAGCTAAAAGAAGATTTATGATATTTTGTGAATTTGACTCCCTACCCATGTTACAAACCGAGATTTTTTTTTCCTAAATTAACGCTATCTATGCGTCAATGCAGCCATAAACTCTTATATTTGGGAAAGATGGAGTAAGTGCATTATTTTGAGACGAAGATAATAGGTGGCATCAAATCAATATCATTTTTATTCACCGAACATGAATTTCCCAGTGATTTGATTCATTTTTCTATGGGCGTGTTTAGTTCGTGAAAAGAAAAGTTTTGGGTGTCACGTCGGACGTTTGACCGGATGTCGGAAGGGGTTTTCGGACATGAATGAAAAAACTAATTTTCTTACTCGCCTGGAAAACCGCGAAACAAATTTATTAAGCCTAATTAATTCATCATTAGCACTTGTGGGTTACTATAGCACTTATGGCTAATCATGGACTAATTAGGCTCACAAGATTCATCTCGCGATTTCCATACAAACTATGCAATTAGATTTTTTTTTATCTATGTCGGTGATATGGGACCGGGAGTATCGTGACCAGAGGCTTGAGGCAGACACAATCGCCCACGTGGCCTGGCACCCTCGGGGACGTCGGGCCCGAGGGTGAGGTGTCCGCCCTCCTCCTGATTTCCCCGAGGGGGGTCGGGTGACTCCTGTCCCGGCCCCGAGGGCCGAGGCGCCCTGACCCCTTGTGGGTTTTTGCGTCACATGTATAGGTTAGGTGAACGCGGCAGGGCTCACCTAACCGCATTTATTGCGGTCTGGTCAAGCGTGTCACGCTGCATGCAGCGCAGTGCAGCGCGTTCCTTTATCCGGTCTGTGACCAGTCACAGAACGGTCAGATCACGGTTTAGGTGGCGACTGGCGGTCTGACGCACGCCTCGCCCCGTCCCGTCAAGACGAGAGCCTCTAGGCACTCGTCTCTAGCCGGAGCTAGCGTGTTGTCTCTTAGAGATGGCACGATAGCCCCGGTCAGATATATGCCAGGCTTCATCCTAACCATTACAGGCAAGATGTACATGAAGAAGGGCGAACATGCAGATTGCTAAACTGACGCATGGAGGACAAGAATGACCGATCTGTGACCGGTCTGACACTGGTCGCGTCAGCAACGGACAGCAACCATACCAATCTCCGTCCATTTATGAAGAGAGGAAAAGTCCAGTTTGGAAAGAGAGGGGTGCATGTGGTATCCCCTTGAGATATAAAAGGAGGACCTTGCCCACTTAGAGAGGGGACTGGATCCTGATCCCAGACGGAGGGAGGGGGACTTTGGAGATTGGAGACTTTGGGACTTTCTTTTGGGGGGGCTGCTTCATACTTTGTAGCTGGCTCATACACAAATCCACCAAAACACAGGAGTAGGGTATTACGCTTCCCTGCGGCCCGAACCTGTATACATCGCCTGTGTCTCTTGCTCGTTCGATAGGTCGCTATCTTTCCACATACAGAGAGAGAGTTTGGGATTTCACCCCGAGCCCCCGGCCGAACCGGCAAAGGGGGGCCTGCGCGGTCTCCCGGTGAGGAGCCTCGCGCTCCGTCAATCTATATTTAATGTGTCGATGTTTGATGTCGCGATTCCGGTATTTGCATAGCATGGGGATCGTTGTTACTAGGATATACGCGAGATTGTAGTAAAAGAGATGGAGACGAGGATTTTTATATAGGTTCGGGCCCCTTATCTGACAGGTAATAGCCCTACATCCTGTTAGCCGAAGCCGGTCGTTGTTATTAGTCACCATAATCACACTAGTATAATATTTGGGGTAGTCTATCTAACCGTTATCGACATGGCGGTCTGAAGTGCTGACTCTTAGTCGACAACAGTGTAGTCTTCCTCCTCGAATCCATGCCCGATGAGATCAGAGACAGCGCTAGATCGCTACAGCCGGCCTCCATAGGTACTGGATAGGGTCCTCCAGGCATATCTCTGATGTCGATATCCGGCGTCTTGTCTTGGCGCATGTTGGTTTGTATGTTGTGGCTTCTGTTGTTCGTCTATGGTGTGTGTCCCCTCTCCTCCTAAGGGGCCTTGTATTTATACCTATAGGTGTCCCCTTGTCCAAGTAGAACTAGGGAAACCGATATGGATACAATCCGAGTAGTCTTTGTCGTTTCCATGTAGAACTCTGGTTGTCTTTCCTTATCCGGAATTCTCTCCATATCCGAAGGTTGTTTCCGTATAAGACATGGTATGTGGTGGGTCCTCCCGAGATTTAGTCAACTACTATTAGGTATGTGGTATCCATAACCCTGACATAATGCTCTATGCATGTGTTCAAAGATTTGATGTGATGTTTTTGGGTAAATTTTTTTGGAACTAAACAAGGCCTATATCAACTAGACACAAAAATTTGGTTTCAATTCTGTTTGGAATTCAAGTGCCCCAATCTGATAGTACTAGTTGGAATCGAGAAAACAGACGATATGCCACTCTCTAAAGTGGGTTCAGATAAAATGCAACACAATACAATGCACCAGATAAAATGCTACTCAATACATTACCTATTGGATGAAATGCCACTTTAGAGATTTTTGTGCCCAAAATGCCCTGGAGAGAGAGGGAGAGGGGAGGGCTAGCCGGGCGGCGCCGGAGGCCTCGCCGGGCAGCGGCCGGCGGCGACGACGGGGAGGGGAGGACGGGGCGGCGGTGGAGGTGACCGGTGGTGACAACGGGGGGAGGGAGGAAGCGACGCGGGGGAAGAAGAGGAGGAGGAGGAGGAGGCAACGTGAAGGGAGGAGGATGGCGCGGCGAGCATCACCGCCTAGGTGGTGACGGGGATGACGGTCTGAGCTCCACTGCAGTCGCCTCTTCTTTCGCCCTATCCTCCTCCCCCCGACGTCCCCGCCGACCATCGCCACCGTCCCGTCCCTCTGGTGAGGCCTATCTTCCTTCCCCGTCGTCGCCACCGGCCGCCTTCGCCGTTCCCCTGGCGAGGCCTATCTCCAGGGTATTATATTGAGTGACATTTTATCCAGTGTATTATATTGGAGAGTGGCATATCGTCCCCGTTTTCTCAGTTGGAACCAAACGGAGCCGATAATTTCGAAAGGAGTCCCGTTCCGTCCCGTCCGAGCCGTCGCCACCATGGGCGGAGATCCCACCGCCGACCCCTCCTCCGCATACTTCATCGACGCCGACCACCCGTACGCCGCCGCCGCCGCCTCCGCGCTCACCTCCCACCGCTCCAGGTCCAAGTGGTCCCACCTCTCCTCCCTCGCCGTGCCCGATCCCCTCCCGGCCTCCGCCGTCGCGGCGGTCCCCCTCCTGCTCCGCCGCCGCCCCCACGTGGCCCTCAGCTTCCACCTCTTCGCCACCCGCCGCCTCCTCCCCTCTGGCTCTCCGCCCCCGCTCCTCCTCTCCGTCTCCGCCGCCCATGTCGCCGCCGCTTCCCGCCTCCGCCGCGCCGCCATCTCCCTCCTCTCCTCCGCCGCCCGCCACTACCCGCATTCTCAAATCTTCGCCGCCCTGGCCGCCACCTACCGCCGGTTCGCCTCCGCGCCCTTCGTCTTTGACCTTCTCCTCCTCGCCTACCTCCGCTCCCGCCGCGACGCCCTCGCCGCGGCCTCCGTCGCCCGCCGCATCCTCGCTGCCGGCGCCCACCCCCTCCCCTCCACCTCCGCCGCCCTCCTCCGCTCCCTCCCCTCCGCCGCCGCGGCCCTCGACATGTACCGCGAAATCTACACGCGCCCGAGTTCAAGGATCAACAGCCAGCTACTGCCGACCGTTCATACCTTCAACTCCCTCCTCCTCGCTTTCTACCGTGAAGGGAAGTGCGATGTTTTCAAGGTTGTGCTCCAGGAAATGGACAGATATTCCTGCGTACACAATGTGTGCACCTACAATATCCGGATGGCCGCGTATTGTGATAGCAAGGAGGTGGAGAAGGCACGAGGGCTGTGGGATGAGATGGTTGAGGGAGGAATCCAACCGGATGTTCCCGCGTACAACACGATGATCAGTGGGTACTGTGGTGTGGGGGAGGTAGGTATGGCAGAGGAGATGTTTAAGGATATGGAGATGGGTGGGATCGACCCAAGCGTTACGACATTTGAATGGTTGGTTAGAGGGCATTGTAGGGTGGGGGATATCGATGCGGCAATGCTTGTGCGTGCAGACATGAGCAGGAGGGGGTTCCAGATGGCGGCAGAGGTTGTAGAGGAGGTGGTGAATGTACTGTGTCAGAAGAAGAGAGTGAAGGAGGCATTAGGTGTTTTGAAGGAAGAGATGAGGAAGGAAGAGTTTGTGCCAAGTCGGGAATGTTACGAGGTATTGATAAGGGAACTTTGTGAGCAAGGGGAGGTGGAGGTGGCAATGAGACTCCAGGCGGAGATGGCTGGTATGGGATTCAAGGTTGGCAGTGAGGTGTACTGTGCCTTTGTCTGTGCCTATGAGAAGGCTGAGGATTATGAGATGGCAGAGAAGTTGAGGAAAGAATTGTCGGTGATAAGCATTCAGGATGGATGATATTTTCCTTATCTTTACACAGTGATGCATGATTTTTCATCTCTGTTCATTGCAATGAAAAAGTCTGGTAAAATTCATGTCGAACTTATCGTAAAGATATTATTCCTCTATTTGTGTTCTCTCTTAGTTCTTTGGTAGTATCAAATAGTAATAGTTTCTTATGATGTTTTTTTCCTTTGTTCAGTTAAACGCTGTTGTTTTTTTTTTTTTTAATTTCAAATGATCATTTTGAATCCCTGGCCTCAGTTTTTGTACTCATCTAGACGATTTACATAGTTACCACCTCCGTTCTCAGATGTTATCCTAGAATGCATGTAGTCAAACATCAAAACCTTAAATGATTAGTTAATATAGTTAGATTTCTTATAGAAAGCACTTCCATATAGTTATATTTTTAATTGCTTTTATAAAAATATAGTTCGAGCTAATGGAGAAAGATTGGAGTGAAGTTTAGTATGCTTTCTAAGATCAGAGGAGGAAAAGAATGAAGGTGTGGGCGGGAAGGAGGAGGCAAGCCTGGGCTGGGCCTACCCCCATCCCTAGAGGAGCCGTATGAGGCGGAAGCTCCACGTACGGTTTTGAAGCCGAGCCAACATTAGTGATGAAACATGTGCATTGGAGACTGGTGATATCCAAAATGACAAGCAAAAAGAATGTAGGTAGTATTTGTTTGCACTGAAGGCTCTGACAGTCTGACTATAAAATGTTTGCCTTTTGAAACCATAGGGGAGATGCCATCTTCTTTTAATTGCAAATGGAACTTTACACAGTTCTGCTACCTTAGGTGTTCTTTTGTATGATCCCATATGCACTTCCTTACCAGTTCTCATAAGTTTATTATTATCACTTGGTATTTATATGATTTAGTGATCAATTCGTTTGTTTTTAAAGTGCAACTGTTTTTTGTTGGTTAGTGCCCAGCTGTTTCAATTCTCAAACGATCTGATCTTTTAAAGGAGTCACTCTGCACATGAAAATTATTTACTCGATTCATGACACATAAGTGATTAGTTAATATCTTGATTGCAGGTTTGCTTCTTCTTATCCATTGCAATAGGCCCATTAAACTGTGATGTCAGATATGTCCTTCCAGCAGCTAGCAGTTTCATATCCGTCACACAGTGACACGATCCGAGATGCAACTGTTTGTTGTAATTATGTGGTTGACTTGAAGTTAGTATTTGTGGGACACCAACCACAATCCATGACGATGATTTTCTGCTCCACTATCAAGAGAGTGATATAGAAGAAGTATGGTCAAAGTGGATGGCAGTTTGCAGTTCATACAGTAGATCAGGTATGAATTATGATGCGAACAAGATTCTCTTTTTTTATTTTAACATCTAAATATTTTCTTACGGATCCTTACAGCAGTATGATTTGTTACTGAAATGCACATTTACTGTTGGGAAATCAAACCTCGCTTTGAGTTTGAAGTATTGTGTCCTTCGCTTTGAAGGTCTAAGATAAGTCGCTAGCTCCGTCGGGATGAGATCAGTTTCAGGTTCTTGAGTTTGTAAAGGCCTAGTCCTGTGGAGTCTTGGTGAGGGGAGAGGCTCCCCTCCCAGTTCCTCCTTTTTTCTCTTCTTAATGAAATGAAACGCAATTCTCTTGCTTATTCAAGAAAAAAGAGTCTTGTGTCCTTCATCGACATACTTGCCCTTCAATGTTTATAGGGTGCAGCGTTAGAAACAGCAGGATGAATTGAAATATTTGTATAACTTCTAAAAAGTGCTCTTAGCTGTGAAAAGCCTGAAGCCAATGAGATTGATAAACCAACATGGATCTCCCAGAACCAAGATTATGAAAATTTGTATATAAATGCTATCCCAGACAAATACCCTTCAGGTATACTTGATTCTGTTCAAGTATTCTGTTGTCTTAGAAACCAATAGTGAATTATCTGATACAAAAATGAGTAAATGACATATACCCTTGTTTTTCCAGGCAACTAGCAAACTCTGCGTCATACTTGATCTTCATATGTGGAGTAAACTTGCTATCCTCATCAACTACTGAACTGCTATTTCATTTGTCTTGGGTCCAATTTCTAGCAATGCTAGTTCGTTAGTCAGTTTCCTGTACATTCATGGACTTGCAGAAAAATAAATAGAGAAAGGTAGAAACGTTTTATGTTCAATACTAAACTAGTTTTATGACTTGTAGACTTTTTCAATGTACATAGTCCAGAAGGGAGTTTAAATAAATTGTTCAGAATACAAGTTACTCCAAGATGTTATCATAATCGAATTAACAGAGAACTTAGTGATTAACAGAGTATAGAAGGTAGCAGCACAGCACTATCGATCGGCATGCAGCAGCAGGAATTTCTGCTCTACCCACCCTCTCTTCTGCTTTTGTTTCTTCTTCCTAGCTGACAGCAGCTAATCAGATTAGCTACAGGTTTGGTTGAAGGTGAAGAACAAGGGGAGCTAGAAATGAGAAGAGGATGCAAGCAACAAGAACATCTCTTGCAAACATTTATCATTTCACTCCATCAAGGTGTGTAACAAGAATCATGAGGCTCTAGATCTCAAATGCGCTCTATGCCATGCCTGTCTGATTTGTTTTATTTTATATTGATAGTTAAACAAATTATGTTCGGATTTTGAATCCCCATTGTGTTAGTGCTAATACCCTGTGTAGATCATATTCTTAGTACTCCAGGTGTTATTTAGCAAGAGGATGCTTGCTGAGTGTATAGGACTTCTCATCATTGAGTCATTCTAAGGTAACAGTTCATACTTTAATCTGTTTGAGCTACCAAATTAAATCTGACCATTCATTTAAAGGGAACATATTATGTGCACACAAGCTTCGTGTGCACACTCCGTACACACCAACGAACAAATTTCACCGAAACATCTAGAAAAAAATGTTCATATACTTTCAATAGTATTACACCTACGTGTAAAATCTTAACCTCAAATTCATTATATTTTAGCAGTAACAATAAAAAACTTATTTTTGACAGTTTTAAGACTATAAGTCTGTCAGAATTTTATCTTTTTTGTTGCTCTTTATGTAGGATGAATTTGAAGATCAGACTTTACACGTAGATGTGATACTATTAAAAGTACATATTCATATTTTCCAAGAATTTTTAGTGATATTTTTTAGTTGGTGTGCATGGTGTGTATACGTGAAGGCTTGTGTGTGTAGGATACATTCCCTTATTTAAATGGTATCTTATATTTTTAGCCCTTGATCTGTTTAGTGATTGTGCTTCCTTATTTTGTTTGTGGTCTAATGTGACGATATTATGTACCATGAAGTATCATGTACTATAGAAAAGCTCAAGGAATACATAATGCAGAATTCAACTACTCTCTGGACACTATCTTTTTTATAACGAATTTCATTAGCATATAACCATGTGCATTTAGATTCTACTGTGCTGGCTTGGCTGCTTGAGTTATGAATTGCTTTACCTTAGACGTTTGAAAGTGATTAATCAGCGGACAACAAAGAATCATATGGACGGCTAGGTGGTGAGCCGGTGGCCCCACATATGGGCCAATTTTCAATAATAGATAATACTATTGTCTTCTACAGATAAAGAGATGGTTAAATGGTAAAGAAATTGATCAAAAGTACAATTAAAACACAGAAAAGTATAGAAGTTAACCTAGCATGTAGGTTAGTTGAATTGGAAAATATAAAAAATAACAAACATGATCGATGTAAATATTCACATATGTTGTCACTGCAGATGAAACGAGTGATAGAATTAATGATGCTTTTCCTGTGCATCATAGATTTGAAGTTGGTAAAGGTGCTCTGCTGTAAGCCATACGATGGTTGTAAACTCACCATCGTTGTTGAGCCTCTTGGCATGGGACTCCCTGCTGCATCGGTTGGACGCATATATAAGAAAATCTACCCAGATCCCATAGACCAGCTTCATCGTGTCATCTCTTTCAAGCAGTCGTTTTGCTAGCTGGGTGGCGAAAAATAAACGGTTAGATATCAGATCTTGTGTGACCTCCTTGTCATGTAGCATGTTGGCAAGTTTCTGACTTGGATGGAGCCCAGAAACATATGCGGGTACACCAGCTTCCTCCCACTCTTTGGCCAGACTTTCTTTGGTCCATTGGTACATCTTGTTTTGAGCAAGGCCAGGTAGCATGTCTGGTTGTTTGACAAGGAGGAACATCATGTAGTTTGATAATGCTTTGACAGCTTCCTTCACAGCATCTTGATCGTCGGCCTTGCGCTGAGCAATAAAGATGTCAGTGGCGATGTGCCAGACGATAATACCCTCGTGGAGCTCAGCACCAAGCCTCTTCTCGAGGTATTCCTTGTACTCGTCATCAACTTGTTTATCCTCCAACCAACGCTTTATTGCCACCTTTCCCCATTGCTCCCTAAAAATTCCTAGTGTATTCACGGTCCTGTCCTTGATCATGAATTTTATATACTCAATTACCATGTCCTTGAGTCCCTTTGGAATGTCAGCTGTCACCACGTTGTAGCTCAATTCTTCTGCCAGTCTTCCGAAGCCCAACATCTCTGCCAATCTGCTGAAGCCTAGCTTCTTGGACAGTCTGCTGAAGACTAGCCTCACTACCAGTTTGCCAAGTAGAGGAGGCCTGGCAGTGCAGGCATCCAACATGTTGTATTGCCCCAGGGTACCTGACCACCTCCTTGACAAGCTCAAGTAACTCCAAATCCCTGTGCTACAGGCAAGCCGGCGAAAGGAGAGGACCATATTGCGAAGGCAGTGCCACTTCTTAGAGCACAAGGCTGCATGTCGAAGGCTGGTCCACCGCGTTGCACATAGGAAGGAGAACGTCCAGGTGGACCAGAGCGCGCTCAAAAGTGATGCCATCTCCATGAGCAAGGAAGAACTCAGTAAAACATAGGTGATGGTAATGTCAGCTCTGCTACTTTGCCCCTCCTTACCATATAATTGGAACAGCAGGAAGGAGGCAGCCACGGTGAGCGATGAGACGATGCGGATGCAGTAGCCGGTCCAGGTGTGGATGACGGCTGCCTTGGTGTAGAGAATGTCATACATGAGGGAGAGCTCCATCTCCATCAGCGTCCACAAATCCACCCTGTTCTCCCTAAGGTACGCAAGTATTCTGAGAAAGTATCTATCTGGATCATACATTGAAGAGTCAACCATGGCAGACTTGCAGACGAGGAACACGGCGTGGGCACGCCGCATGAGGAATTCCTCCTCGTCGACTTCCTTCCCCTTGAATCCCCCCCGAGGTAGTTCGTCTTCCTCAAGGTAAACCCGGTACAATTGCCGCGGTTCCTCCTCACCGTCTTCTCGTTCCACCGACGACAGGATGACCTTAAAGTTGGCGATCCAGAGAGCCCAAGTCTTCTCAAACATCTTGAACACGGCCACGGTGGTGACCATGATGGCACCCGGCAACAGCAAGGTCCTGCTGCTACCGACATGCTTGACGAGGACAAACACAGCACCTAGGCCCTGCACAAAGAGAGTCAGGGCATGGCGCCCTGCGATCTTGCTGTCCTCGAGCGAGTAGGCAGTGATGTTGTCCGGACCAGCGAGATGCAGCAGCAAGAAGGGAGCCCAGAAGGGGACGAGCCGGTGGCTGCGCTGCGCGGCGCTGAGGGAGAGCCTGCCGAGGGCGTACGTCGCGGTGATGTTGGCGAACTTGTACGCCAGCCAGAGGACAGCCCTCCGTTTGTTTCTGCCTTGGCGCCGCCGGATGCCGGAGAAGAAGAGCGGGAAGAACTGCTGGATGAGGCTGAGGACTACAAGGATCTGGGTTGCCCATTCGCTCCAAAAGCCCAGCAGCAGCCGGGCGATTTCTCTCGGCTGCATCACTGACCAATGCAATGCAGATCATCATTTCACATTTCACACTTGAATATAATTGCCGGCATGCATGATGCAGATCCAAACAGGTACAGAACGAACAATACATACCATGGCTAGCGGCCTGTAGTTGATTACTAGGACCAAAATGCATGTATGGCAGGAAGCGGGACATAGTTGAAGGGCCAACTGCTTGAGCTCCGGGTGCTGAGCTAGCTAGGACGATATGATGCTAGATGTATACTCCCTCCGTCCCACAATAAATCGAATTCTGGAGGGAGGGGTTTGTCCCACAAAAAACCGATTCTAGCACAAAAAAACGAGAAATGTTAACTCCATCCAATCGTTTGTGGGCCATACTAGTGAATACGGAGTGTAGTAGTAGTGGATACGGAGGGCAACGATCTCTCGCGTTCACACGTGCCAACCTCATCTCTTCCCAAGCCTCTCGCATCTCTCTCGTTCTCTCATGGCGGCGTCTAGATGCGGAACCTCACCGATCCTCCTACCCCTTCCACCCCTCTCCCCTTCCCTTCCGCAGTCCTGCTCCACCCCTCACTCTCCTCTAGCCGCGATTTTCTGCGTCTGATGTGGCGGCTGGGATGTGGTGGTTGAGGCAGAGGCTTGCAGGGAGGCAGATCCAATGAAGGTGACGGTGGCGTCGGATGGATGCAGCGGCGACAAAGGCAGTGGCATGCTGTTTTCATGGAGATCTTATGCAGATTTCTTTTTTTTCTTTATTCTTGGTTCTTCTATGTTCTTGGTACTTGCAAGTTCATGCAGGTGAATTAAAATCATTAATTTTTTTCCTGATTGGAGGGATGCTATCTTTTCTTTGGCAAGTGTAAAAATTAGTTCTTGCATCTGAATTCAGAGCAATTCTTTTTTTTTTTTCAGATTGCTGAGATGTCTCTTCTTTCGGCAGTGCAAAAATTCAATTTATTTTTTCTTTTTTTTTTGTCATAGATGTCTCCTGTATGTGTTTTTTCAGATTGCTGAGATGTTCTTCTTTCGGCAGTGCAAAAATTTAATTTATCTTGCCTTTTTCTTTTCTCTCGTAGATGTTCCCTGTACGTGCTGTACTAGTAGTATTAATTAATGGATATAGATAGCGACAATATTGACGGATGAACGTAGTTAATGAGGTTATTTTGGTTTCACTTCAGTTCTAAACTTACCAAGGGAATCCAGGAATCGATATTTTTTGGACGGAGGGAGTAGTATGGTGTATGAAGTAGCTATAGCCTAGAGCTATCTCATTTCTACCACACCAATTTTGACAATTTAACCCTGTGCAAAAACTATTTTTACAAATGAACCGCTGCCAAAACTTATTTTAAAAATGACCTTTTTACTCAACGCCAAATCATGTGGCACTGAACTTAGACACCTCAGCGTCACGTCAGCTGGCGCTGAATGCCGTGCCACGGCGGATGGTAGACTAAGTCAGCGTGCCAACGTACATTCAGCGCCATGCTATTTGGCGCTGAGGTGTCTAAGTTCAGCGCCACACGATTTGGCGTTGAGCAAAAGGGTCAGATTTGAAATAAGTTTTAGCAGCGGTTTATTTATAAAAATAGTTTTTGCAAATGTTCAAATTGTCAAAATTAATGTTCTGCTCGAAAGGTGGCCATGCCAGCAAGACCAAATCCAAATGGTAATTTTCTTTTTGTTATTGTTTGGATCGTACGGCAGGGAGTAACCATAGTATATGCATCCGTTAACATGAGCTTCAGTTCAATCAAAATCTCATCTGGATCGGGGCCATGCATTTGAAAGGTGGCCATGCCAGCTTAATCAAACAGCACTCCCTCCGTTAAAAAAAAACTCAACTTCTGTGAGTTTAAATTTTGTCCTACGAAAAACCAACTTCTATCATCTTATCTAACCTTAGCACATAAAATGAGAAGTTTTATCTCTTAAATACCTTTTACCTACCTATCAACATTACTACATTTTCTAATAATGAGGAGCATTTTGGTTATTTTTACTCTTTACTAATCTCTTGTTGGGATGCTAGGAATCTCTCGTTGGGATGCTAGGAATGGGCTTTTTTGGTCGGAGGGAGTAAGTAGGATGTGATGGCACAACCATTAGAAGTACAGATCTGTCAATAATCTGCCGGCTAGTTGCGACATTGATTAATATTCCTAGTAAAGTAGGATGTAATGGCACAACCACTTTACTTGTGACGGGTGGATGGAGGTGTCACAACCTGACTATGACTATTTTTATGGATTTATAAATTATTTAATAATTTATCTCTAGAATTTATATTAGTAAGCAAATCATTCAACACGTGAAGTAAAAATGGGAAATAAAATGTCCTAAATAAATTATGGTCAGACATATTGTTATTAAATTCTCCTTATTCTAAAATACTCTCTGAAAGTTTTGTGGAATTTTTAGAGCTTAAAAGTAATTTTTTAATAGTATTTTTTTTACAAATAATCGAAAATGGTAAGTTGCACTCATTTCTCACTCCCATCCACCTCCTCTGCTTTCTTGTGCTCTGCTTTTCCCTGCTCGTCGTGTTCCTAATGTTCTTCTTGCAAGCAGTAATAACATGAAAAAAATTAATCCAGGTGGTTATGTGGCTAATCCTTTTTTTTGATCATAAGGCAATGGTGCACTAATCCTAATGTCGTTTAATGCCGTACTACTCGAGCGAGTTGTTTCTACCTTTTTCTTTTGTGCAATGTTTTACCGAGATATCTGCACTAGAGGTGTGTTTAGTTTTTTGGGTGTAAATTTTGAAGTATACGGACACATATTTAAAGTATTAAACATAGACTAATAACAAAACAAATTACAGATTCCGCCTGTAAATTGCGAGACAAATTTATTAAGCCTAATTAATGTGTCATTAGCAAATGTTTACTATAGCGTAATTAGGCTTAAAGATTCGTTTCTCAATTTACATGCAAACTGTGCAATTATTTTTTCCTACATTTAATGCCTCATGTATGTGTCTAAATATTTGATGCGATGTTTTTGGCCAAATTTTTTTTTTGATCTAAACAAGGTCCGGGTACCTGAAATGGTGGGACCTCCTTTATATCTTTGTGTTTGTTCGGAGGAACTCGGGTAAATGTTCTTGTGATTCCTCCATGGTTGGTTGGTTGGTTACTTGGTTGTGTGATGTATTCTTTCCTTGGCTGGGGAAAAGATTTCACTTTTTTGAAGGGTTAATTGGATCCATGCCATTATAACTTTCGTGGTTTTGAAATATGGGATCATAACCACTAAAAACTTGGGAGTTGGGACAAGCTATGAATTTTCCACTAGACATGATCTGATCACTCATTTTGTACATGTGCGTGAACTATTTATTTTTATTTTTTATGGACATTGCAATACATAATTTATACATGCAGTCATATTACATATACTGTACATGGTAACTGTCATGACGAAGCACGAAGCAAAAATAACAGGTGCTTCAATTGATGCTCAAATTTACCCATGGTTACTGTCATGATGAAAGAGCAAGAAGCAAAAATAGCCATACTAAAAGCATGCCCAACAGCTTCCTTTCTTGATTCCCTATCCTCAGATTTAAGAAATTTTGGTTAAAAATCGTCTCCAACAGATTCTCTATCCTATCTTTCAATAGATCTGGTTTCCAACTCCGGATATATCGTACCTTACTTCTGGGGAGCGAATTTTATTCCCAATCTCAGTCATCTTTCCCTCTCGCGCGCGCACGGCGAAAATGTTCGCATCCTCTTCCTCCTCGCGACCTCGTTCCTCCGCGGCAGCGCCATCAGCGATGGGCTCTTCCACGGTGGCTGCGGCGGCAGCGATGGCAGTGACATCTTCCTCAACGGCGGCGGCAGCGGCTGTGGCTGCGGCGGCCTCTTCCTCCGCAGCGGCGCCGGCGACTCGGTCTCGGGTGATCGATCGAGAGTTTGGGATGTTGCTGCTGGCGTGAAGGTCGCGGAAGGCGGTGATGGTGAAGGCGCAGGCGTCGCTGCTGCAGAAGAGGGGTGGCGCGATGGCGGAGCTGGTGATCCCGGCACACTTCCGGTGCCCGATCTCGCTGGACCTGATGCGCGACCTGGTGATGGCAACGATGGGGATCACGTACGACAGGGAGGGGATCGAGGCGTGGCTGGACACGGGGCGCGCGGTGTGCCCCGTCACCCACGCGCCGCTCTGGCTCGAGGACCTTGTCCCCAACCATGCCATCCGCCACGTCATCCAGGACTGGTGCGTCGCCAACAGGTCCCACGGTGTGGAGCGCATCCCCACGCCCAAGATCCCCGCCACGCCCATCCAGGCCTCCGAGATGCTGTTCAACGTCGCCGAGTCGGCGCGGTGTGGTGCGGCGGAGCGCGCCACCGAGCGGTCGCTCCTATTAGTGCTACTTCCTTCGTTTTACAATGTAAGTCATTCTAGCATTTTCTACGTTCATATTGATGTTAATGAATCTAGACTATTAGATTGTGAAACGGAGGGAGTAATTCCTCCGATATATATATGTAGCAGTTATTTACTTTGTCCAGTGTTAATCTAGATACATTGCATCCATTTTGAAGAAATGAGACATATATGAACTAAATTTCATTGCTGTACACTGCCTCGGTTGTGTAGAGAAGCTTGTTGTTTATGTGCTGCAAGCAAATATAATGGTTTCAAGTCTGTCTTTCATTCAATCATTTATTTGGCATGAACAGGAAAAATGGATGGAAGTGGGTATTTTACAAACTTGATAAATGAGGGTGGTCGTACTTTTGCTGCTTAAATAGCTGCTGTTGCTGCTTGTACTGGAGTACAAGCAGAATTAAAAATTTTAACAGAAGCACACACTTTTAGATTTTGGGAATTGAATTTAGGCCTTCTTTTGGAGGGGGGAGTTTTTTCACTTTCTATTTCAGTTTAAGAAACCAAAAATTAAATTTTAGGGATAAATTATTGGTAAGTTGTTGGGTATGCTACCCCTTTGATTTGGAGGAAAAACATAAAAAGTTTTAGAGAATTTCAATCCTATAGAAAAATTTCATGTACAGGCCTTTGAAACAAAAAATTGAATCATATATTATCCTTTGAAATTACTATAGAATGTACAATCCTATAGAGATTTTGAAGAAAATTTAACAAGAACTTCAATCTCTTGAAAATTTTCCTATGACTATATTCTCATCTGATTCCTGTGTTTTCTTGCGGTCCAATCAAATGGTCATCCCTATATTTTTTCTCTGTATTTTGCCATTCTTTGTTTTGTACTTAAATTTCTATTATAATCCTGTGTTTTCCTATTCCTTTATTTTTGTATTATGCGATTCAAATGGGCCCTGCAAGTGCTTCAATTCATGCTCAAATTTATCCAGGTGAGCGAAGTAAAAATCGACCATTTCAGTGTCTGCTGATATGTATACTCGACTGCAGGAGGATCCCACTGCAAGAAAATATTTTTAGTAAACATGGGAGAACGTTGTTTTGCTAGTTAATAGAAAAACAAATGTACAACCAGCAAAGTAATTTACCCATGGAGCCATGTCCTTGTTCACGAGCCGTGCTCTAATGCCCTCTACACAGAACAAGAAAAAAGAGAGGGCATTTTAAGACAAAATCTAGATAATTAAGTGTGCTGAGATTCCATCGATGAACATGCAAACATACCTCATGAAATTCATGAGATAATTAATCCCAGATTCCATCGATGGACATACAGTATTCATGCAAAGGCATCCTGTTATCTACCTTCACGTATGTACAGAATGGCCATAGATAATTTGTCCGCCATCGGTCAAGGTAGTTGTTTACACCTAAATTTGACACTTATGATTAAGATAGAAAAAAACGTCAAGATTTAGAAAATCTGCCGGTTTCCTCTAGAGGGCTGGTCTGACCGCTGTGTATGGGCCGGTCAGACCGTAGCCTGAGGGCCGGT